ACGTCTGCTTACATCCAAAACATCAGCCTAAAACCGAACTCTGCACGCACGATCCTTTGGAATGCGGGGGACGGCTCGCACAGTCCCAACCATTCCACCAGTAAAAAGGAGGAACCCATGTTACAAAGCAAATACCTCGTCAGAAAAACAAAGCACCTACACGTGACTCGGGAGCACACACATACCGCTCAGCCCCAAACCTTCACGCCTGATGCTCCACTCTATTGCATTCTTCGAAGGAGACAAGAAGTGCTCTAAGTTAGGTTTTATCACTCACTTGGTGACAATGCAGACAAGCAGAAATCATCTAAGGCTTCTCGGATTTCAAAGCCAGCCTTCCTCAATCGGATCCCCCCAGGGCAGGTGTGTCACCCCCTTGGGTGCCCGTCTCACCCCATTTTCAGTCTCTCCTGAGAGGGGCTGACTTTAGTTTCGGGGCGTGCTCTGTTGTAACATAGCTCGGGCCCTTCACGGACACCTGGATTAGCAGAGCGGCCTCTTCTGTTTGGCTCTGGAAGAACCACCCTTGTCCCAGGAGTAAGTCTGATGAGCTGCTCTCTGCTAGCTTAGGGGCAGGCACCAACCAAAGCCACGCAGACCGCAAACTTTCTCCCCGGAAGGAAGATGGGCCTGCACGTGCAGCCAGCTGGTACCCACCATACTGATTCCTGCCAGTTACCTTGGTTTCTGTACTTCCTGGCCCAATTCTCTAGCTTTTCCTTAAACCTCAGGAGCAGCCCGGTGTCTACAATAAATTCCTTGTTCTATTCAAGCTAGCCTGTTTCTGTTCTTGTTATTAAAGGACCCTAACTGATACATTTTCAAGTGTTACTCATTCTTCCTGCCATGCTCTCCAAGTTCATCCTTTACAATCCTGCTGCTAGATGGGGCTTCCTAAACAAAGCTTCAAGCATTCACTGGACATACACACTAGAGACTATATATTCAACTTATTTATTGAGCTCTTATTATGTGCAAGGCATGATTAGACATGCCTGAAATACAGGACGCACAAAACAGACCAAGGCCCCCAAATTCTAAGGGGGTAAATGAGATAATGAACAAGGAAACAAATGAAAAGGGTAGATTCAGGTTGCACTATAATGGAAATAAACAGGGTGCTATAACCGGGTGGAGAAACTAGGGGTATGGAGAGAATGCTTAGGAAATGCCTCAATATGGTATTTTGGCTGAGTGCTAAAAGTTGGCTGAAAAAAAATAATAATGAAAACATGGTTCTCCACTAGGTTAAAATGCAAAATTTTAAAACATAGACTCTACACCTCTGTGAATCTGGTCACAAAATACTTTTTAAAATTTCTTTCCCTTCGTTATTCCCTTGTGATGACTTCCTGCTTCAGATGCTGTGTCTCTGAGACACAACCCGAGTGTCCTGCGTCTCCCACTACAAGACCTCGAATGTCCAAGACCTCATCTACCCTTCTCCAGCACCCCACTCAGCTGAACGCTGATCATCCTTCAGAGCTCAGCTCAAGTCCCAGTCCCTCCATTAAGCCTTCTGCCACAGGCTGGATTGTGTCCCCCTCTCCACACCCCATCACATGCTGAAGCCCTAACCACCTGCCCCCCCCTTCCCCGGCCCCTCAGAATGCAAGCATATTTAGGGGCCCCTGGGTGGCTCAGTCTTGGGATACTTAAAAGGCTCAGAGGTCTTTTCACTGCTCTGTGCTGCTTGCTGAGGCAGGAGAAAGGTGATGTTCAGAACAAGAAAACAAAGCGTTCTGAGGGTCAAACTGACAGGCCAAGAGGAGACAAATCACAGAAGTACAGGCTGCTGATGAGTAATGGAATAAAATAACTGGATGTGGGGCGCCTGGGTGGCTCAGTCGTTAAGCGTCTGCTTTCTGCTCAGGTCATGATCCCAGGGTCCTGGGATCGAGCCCCGCATCGGGCTCCTGCTCAGTGGGGAGCCTGCTTCTCCCTCTATCTCTGCCCCTCCCCCTGCTTGTGCAAATGCGTGCACTCTGTCTCTATCTCAATAAAATCTTAAAAAAAAAAAAAAAGAACGCAAGCATATTTAGACAGATTTTTGAAAGGGATCATCAAGTTTTAATGAGGACTTTAAGGTGGGCCCAAATCCAATCTGAGGATGTAAGAGGAGGATATAAGGACACCAGCACACAGAGGGACGAGAACATGACGACAGGAAAGCTGGTCCTCTACACGCCAAGGAGACAGGCCTCACGAGAAACCAACCCTGCCCACACCCTGGCCCTGGACTTCTAGGCTCCAGGACTGTGAGGAAATACATTTCTGGTATGCCCCCCAGTCTGCGGTGCTGTTTTGGCAGACCTAGCTAACAGACGTTCCTTGACTCCTTCAGTTTATAATGAGCAAGCACCTTTCAACTCCGGTATCACAGAGATTGGCACCGTTCACACAATGTTTATTTGCTGCCAGATACTGTTGTTTGTCTCCCCAACAGAACTCTGAGCTGTGTGAGAACTAAAAATCTACTCAATTATCTTTTGACACTCTTCACAATAATCCAACGTGGTATCTTGCACAATAAATATTTGTTGATTTTTCTGTAGTCTGATAATCCAATTAAATGCAGGAGTGGAAATTATGCCTTTCATTGGTTTTCCTAAAGTAAAGCTGGTCCCATCACTGCCTTTTACAATACTATATTGATTTTTCTATTACTTCCTGGATAAAATCCAAACCCTACAGACTGGCATACAAGCCTCTTCATAGTCTGGTCATATTTATCTTTCTGCTGCCCTCTTTGGACACTCTTTGCCATCTACCCTGCAAACCTGTACACCCAATGTCCACCACCTAACATACCTTTCTTAACTTCCCTTGGCCAACTTTTACAGAAAGATCCAGCTCAAATGTCACTTGTCTCTGCAAAGCTCTTGTTACTGTGCCCCCAGCCAATGGCTCAGTTCTATCTGAACTACCACAATATTCCATCCACCTGTCTGCAATAAGAGCACAACCATTTTGAGTGTCCTGCTTTTCTATCTACCTCCCTGGTGAGCGCCCTCAAAAGGAAGAATGCTTATTTTCGTCTGTGTATCCCCAATGCTTAGCACAGGCCTGACAAGTATCTGCTGGGTAAAGAGAGAAATCATTACACTCAAGGTTCAAGACCTGCACCTGCTCACCTTCACTGCTCCAGCATCTGTTACAGAGCTTAGCATGTGGCAGCTCTGCTTTCTGAACGGGCTCTTGTGGCTTACAGGTCTACAGGATGAGGACTCCCAAATCTGTATCTCTGCTTCGACGTCTCTCTGGGACCACAGGTGCCCGCTGAGTACTTCCATCACAGCTAACTCCACATGCCCAGGGCAGTACTTAGGGCCCACTTCCCTGGCCCCTACCCCACATCTGCTTGTCCTCACACATTCCTTATTTGGTTAGATGCGCTGCCAACCACCAGCTCTCCCAAACCGGAAACCTCTTTCCTCTCTAGCCCATCAGCACAACCTGGCAAACCTCGCTTGTAAACAGCTCTAGAATCAGCTCTCCTCATCCCTGTTGGTTCTGGGGACAACTAGAATTGTCCCTTCAGCCATCTCCTGCTCACCTGGAGACTCCCAATAACCCCTCTTTGGTTACACACCCAGCATCCCTTGCCATAAACACTCTTAGGTTCCTTGAAGTCTGGGGTTATCACCTTTTCACTCCACAGAATGAAGTGCACTCCGTGTTCAACAGTGTCAAGTGAAAGAATGAATAAGCAAACCAATACCCCCAATTTCTACCTTCTTTTTATCACCAATATTTAGGAGTACTTAAATTTAGAAGTAACGACGATTAGACGTTAGAGGTGGATGAGGGATTTACTCCAAGCATCGGAGGGGAGAAAGGAGTAACTGTCAGTGAGAAACCCAAAATCGATTAGCCCACTTTGTCCCCCTGAACAAGGTGCACGGACCACGGTGCAGGCTCCGTGCTGATGACCGAGGGTCATCATTATGAACAATCACTGGACGATGCTGTAATACGCCGATGCCCTCTGATCCAGAGGTGGGCAGCGCTGGGAGCCCCCGCACTAAAACACCCCGGATGCTACACTGTCTGGGGTCTGATGAACCTTTGCCCCCCGGACCGCTGCGTGGCAACCCCGAGGGAGAACCGGTCTCTGAAAACACCCCACGTCCACACGTGCTGCTCGGGTGGCATTCCCCAGAAGCACGCAGCCCTGCGCTTGCAACGCACAGCAACCGGGGCGCAGGGCTGGCGCCGAGGGGCTCCCCTAGGCTGCGACCCTCCGCAGGCCGCGACTGAACTCGTTCGAGATCAGCGGTTGAGGCGATCGGGCAACCCACGCAAACACGCCGCGGGCTCCTGCCGGCGGCGGTCCCTGCGCGGGGATGCCCAGAGCCGCTGGTCCCGAGCCACCCCCTTGCCCAGCGCCTCCGGCCGCAGATTCTCAGGGAACCGTCCAAAGCCCCGCACAGAGGCCTGCGGCCAGAGGCGGGCCGTCCGAGAAGCGGGTCCTCCGGGGGCTCCGGAGGGAAAGGAGCGCGCTCCGAGGCCACGCGTCCGGCAGAGGGCGGGCCGGGGAGGCGGGCCGGGGCGGGGCCCGCCAAGTCAACTTGGGCCGCGGAAGGGTCCGGGCGGGACCGCGGGACCGCGCGGCGCAGGCTGCGGCAGGTGCGGGGCTCCAGCCGCCCCGCCGCTTCCGCGCACCCCGCGCCGTCCCCTGCGCGCCCCCACGCCTGCACCGGACCGGGACCCGCCCTCGGCCGGAAGGCGTCCCAACAGCTCCGCGCAGGTGCGCGCGCCGAGGCCGGGGACGTCCGGCCCAGGGGGGCACCTGGCCGGGCGAGGGTGGACCAGCCGGGGACGGAGCGTGCGCACTGGCGAGGGCGAGGCCAAGTGCGGGCAAGGAGCATGCGCAGTGTGAAGCCACGGCCGGCTACGTGGGAGCCCGGGGCATGCTCGGTGAGCGCCCGGACCCGCGCACGCGCAGAAGCGCTCGGAGCCCGCAACCCGCTGGTGGAGAGAAAAAAGAGAGAAATCACCTCAGAGTTACGTCAGGAAAGGCCGCGTTTTGCGAGGAGGCTGTGGCCTCCCACGGGGCCCCGCAGTTCTCCTAGGGCGAGGGGCGTGACAGTTACTCACCGGTCTCCAGCCCCGAGGCAGACGCAGGGCCCCTTTCCGCTCACACTCGGCTCGCGCGCGCCGCAGCCGCCGCTGCCGCTGTGATTCCATCCATCTTGAATTTGACGTCATCCCACACCAGGGATGAGGTCATCGCAGGCAGCGCTCGTCACGTGCGCGGCGCTGTGATTGGGCGCCGGGCGCCGGGGGGCGGGGCGAGGGAGGTGCGCCGCGCCGGGGGCGGGAGGGGGTGGACGGGGGCGGGCCTGACGGGAGCGCCGCGGCCGGCCGCGTCCTTCAGCGCCCCGCGCGCGCCTTCCGCCCGGCGTCCGCGTGCGCCCGCGTCCTCCGCGCGCCCGCCCCCCGCCGCCGCCCCGCGCCGCCGCAGCGCCCCCCGGGCCGCGGGCTCGGGTCCGAGGTGAGGACCCGGCGTGCTGCGGGCGGCCGTGGGGCGGCGGGGGTGAGCGGGGTGGCGCGCACTGCTCTCAGCGCTCGCCCGCCCCTCCCGGCGGCGCCCTCCGCACGCCCCTCGGGGGCCGGCCCTCCGGCGGGGGACCCGGGGCGCGGGGCGTCCGGTTCGGGGCGCTCGCCGGCCAGCGCCGAGGGCGCACGGGCTGCGGGTCTTGCAGGACTGACCTCCCGCCGCAAGGGCCACTCTGGAAGGGCCCCGGAGAGCGCACGGGGGAGACGGGGCTCGCGGTCCGCCGCGCGTGGGCAGGTCAGGGTGGCGGCTCCGGTCACCGCGTGGCCACACGCAGCCTGCGCCCTCGGTCGGCCTTCGTGACCGCCGGCAGCTACCCCCGATGTCACCTTTCGCCCCGATGTCACCTTTCGCCCCGATGGCTCTCGGACCGCTGGTGCTCTTGCGTGAATAGTACAGGCCCACTAGTTAGGAAGCTCACTGCACTTTCAGGACCAGAAATGTGTTAGGACAAACGGCAGACTGTAAACACGAACTGAGGACCAGCTACACGTCGCATCTTGATGTGTCCCCCGAAAGCCAGAGCGGAGGGGATTGCAAGGGGGAGCAGGTTGCCTTCTAAAGTAGTGATTTGGGGACACATTTTAAGTCGTGGTTAATACTTAACAGACGTCTGTTAATCCTTGTTCGTGTACAGGGGCAGTGGGAGAGGGAGAAGCCGAGCAGGGAGCCCGATGCGGGGCTCGATCCCCGCACCCTGGGATCCTGACCTGGGCCGAAGGCAGATGCTTAACGACTGAGCCACCCCGGGCGCCCTAGATTTTATTTTTAAGTAATCTCTACACCCAACCTGGAGCTCGAACTCACAACCCTGGGATCAAGAGTCACAGGCTCCCCCCACTCAGCCAGCCAGGCACCCCTAATTTAATTTTTTAAACTTGAGTTTATGCACATGACCCCGGTTAAAATAATTTATGAAATGTTTGAGGAGCCTGTGTAACAAATAATCTTGCATTAGGTTGATAAAAATTAACTTGTTCCAATATAACAGCTTTATTGCCAATTGTTTTAGTTTCACTAATTTTAAGAGAACTCCTAATTTCAAAGGAAGAACGTTGCACCTGAAAATTTTCCCTTAGAGCTGTTGAAGAACTTTAAGAAGTGTGTTTATATTTTGAACTGAATGGTACTAGAGCAAAAAAGTGGCTCTGTACTTAAAAGAAGGCAGAAGACAAGGATGATTATAAGTCTTTCAAAGGGCGGCGAGTTTTAGGGTCCCCTGGGATTTGTCTGGGCCGGCACACATTGTTATCCCCATCTTACAGATGGGAAACCATACCAGCTGTGTGGCAAGAGCCAGAGCTAGAAGCCAGGTTTTTTCAGTTAACTGTTCTATACCAAATGCCAGCCTACCTTCCTTTCTCGGGAAGACATGTGTTGGTGTCTCCACTTTAAGCCATGTCATCAGGCTTTTGCCCTTGCCACATGACTGAACCGGACCTGACCCACACATCCAGCAGAAACCTCAGTCTTTCAGTTGACCTCTTGCGTTTGTGGTCTCTACCAACTCCTTCTTCAAACCTGCTAGTTCACTGGTGCCTCGTGCCCCCAGATTCTCTACCTCTTAGCTGACCTTCTGTTCTCCGCCTCCTCTGCAGGCTCCTCTGCCCGCATCTAGCCTCACGCTTTGGGTCTCCTGAGGCTCTGACCTGGGCCCTGTTGTTACACTCACCCACTGCAGTCCCATCCGTCCCGGGGACATCAGGCCAGGTGGCTGAGCCCAGAACTTGGGCACCGTGTCTGCTCCCTGCTAAGGTCCAGCCTGTCACCAAATCTGGTCTGTCTACCTCCTGAACACTTCTCTGATACTATAACCACTTTCCACCCCAACAGCTTCCCGCCTGCTCTCCCAGCTTCCTGACTTTTCCCTTTTAATCCACCCTCACTTTGCAATCCAAGTGATCTTTTTAAAAAGCAAAAGGTATCATGCCACTCCCGTGCTTAGGTTTTTGATGGCTCTCAGTTGCTCTAAGGCTAACATTCAAACTCCATGTATGTAATATGACCCAGAAGACTGATGACCCGGCCCCCCATGATCCCGTCTCTGCCCCCAGCCCACCCCTTCCCCACACACACCCCGCCGCTCCCCTGGCAAACAACTCACACTCTGTCTCTTGCCTCTGTCTTGTGTGTTGTTTTCTCCCCCTTCCACACCACTACCACCATCATATACCTCTGACCTTGAGGTCAGTCACATGGGCTCTTGTTACTGCCCCTTCCCTGGGTAGGGGGAGCGGATTCTACCACTTCCTTCCTGACCTCTTCAGCCTCGGTCTGGGTTTGGTGCTCCCTGCTGTGCTCCCATAGCACCTCATGTAGCTTGTTCTACCAATTGGGCATATTCTCTTGGATTTGCCTGCCAGGACCCACCCAGCCCCCAGTGGGCTCCTTCACATCTGCCTGCCCAGAACCTAGCATGGTGCCTGGCTTATAGTGCAAACTTTTTTTTTTTTTTGAGTATTACCCATGCACTGATGCAACCCAACAGGATTTCTAGCACCACATGCCTGTATATTTATTTGTACAGAGTTCCCATCATCTATATAACCAGCTGCTTGTCAGACATCGCCATCTGGATGAACATAGCTATGCCACTCAGCAAGCTCATAGCTGAACTTCCTACTGGCTTTCTGTCCTACCTTAAAGCTGTTCGCCCTTCCCTGTCCTTGCCCTGCTGTCTGGCCAGCCACCCACCCTGCCAGAAACTTGCTGTTATTTAAGACCCTTCTGTCTCTCGGTTTCTGCATTCAGCCATCACCGGGTCCTGCCACCATGCCTCTTAGGTGCTCCTTTAGTCTGTCCTCACCTGCCCTCCCACTACTCCTCCTGGCCAGTCACTGTGGCCGCTGCACCAGCATCTTGCTTGAGATTGGCTTCCTCCCTTCCCAGGCCGGTTCATTTTAGTCCCATGTCTCTCTCTAAATGCAGAGCTGGTGCGTGCGGCCCCAGAGCGGGCATCGCCTCCCGAGTGGTCCAGAGGTGGCTTTTCGCTGCTCCTCCGCTTGGCCAACTGCCCCAGCCATGCACAGCCAGTTCAGGTACTTCCGGAGAGACCTTTTCCTGCTCCGCCCGCCGGCAGAGCCCGTTTCTCTTCTAGGAGCCAGCCCCCGCCTCTGTGCTCCTGCTGCCCCACTCTAACGTGTCGTCAGCCGCTCCTGGCTGCTTGCAGGCCAGCTTCCACCCGAGCTTGTGGGCTCCTTGGGTGCAGAGACCGTGTCTGTGAACCTGTGTGTTCCTAGAGGTTGGGGCCCGTTGCTAGGGCCATGTCCTGGGCCATCTGCTCCCGACGGCCAGAAACTGGGTTCCAGGGGTGTCTGCTTCTGTGGCATTAGTCATTAGTAAGACTCTGACTTGGTTTCTTTGCATTTCGGGTACCAAATAAACACAGCCCTTTCATAAACTGGGGGAGGAAGGTCTGTATGGGTATACATATACCCATATACAGCCCCTTGCCTGCAGACACCACGCCAAATGCTCAAGTGGGCTCAGAACTGGAGTGGACCGTAGCTGTCTTGTCAACAGGGTGGGAATCGGGCAGGGCTAAGTGAGCATCCCACCGGGTGCTCGCGGTTGAGAAGCCTTGTCTTTAAACATTATTATGAAATGGGGAGTTTCTCACCAACCAAAAGCATCAGTTTGCTGCCTGCTTGCCTTTCCCAGAAGGGCCTGATTGCCTCCTTCTCTCTTTCCTCACCGTGCTGGTCCTTGAAGATCAAAGACACGTCAAGGTCGTCTGGTTCAGCAGACTGATAGGAACTGATAGGAACAGGACTGCATCAACACCTTCACACCAGTTTCTGGCAACCCTTTGCCTTAAGCAAGATTGGAGGACTCTGTGTGTGTGTGTGCACGAGCGTGTGTAACAGCAGGATCATTCTGGGCACTTGACTGTGAACTGCATACAATAAGAAAATGGATTTAGATGGGATTTCTTATGTGCTGTTCCATAAATTGCCCTCATGAAAGGAAGTGAGGAATACAGATGCTTTAAAATCTGCGGCATGGGATTCTTTTGGTAAAGATGGATCTATATCCCCAAAGCCTCACACTGGGGTGAAGAATGACAACTTCTGTTGAACTAGTGTCTGCCCCCTGCTGTGATCTGACCTGCTCTCCAGGAATGATAAAGCTCTCCACCCCAGGAAAGTGAGGCTCCTAAGGCCAGGAGGTGGAGGAAGGGGGTTGGATCCGGGTCTGACAGTGAAGTCCAAGACCTTTCAAATAAGCAGCTCTGAAAATATTCCAGATGTTTAGGGTGGAACTCGTTAGCTGGTCAGCCCTTTATCCTCTTTTTCTCCTAATGGGAAGGGGTGAATCCGGAGCCCGGGGCTTCTGTTAGATGAGTTGGTGGGGGAGGGGAGAAGGTGTGTGCAGATGGGGATAAGCTGGCAGGTGGCAGAAGGTGGAAGGACTCAGAACCTGTGGCTCGTGTTTGATGAGCTACATACTCTATAAAGAGTGGGGGTATGTGGGGGTGTGGATGAGGTCCGAATCTTGGCCAGCTCTCCTATTCTCCTTCCCAGCCTTCAGCATTATGATGTATGTGCCTGTCATGGCCCAGGCTTTGGCTCTGCAAAGATGAAAGCTAGAGGGTCCCCGCCCTCAAGGAAGTGGCATCCTCTC